TCTGGTTGAACCATACATTTTTTTCAGCATAAAAAAAATTCAGTTGTTGGAAAAATAAATGGGGGTCCATCGTCCATCAAAGTAGAAAATATAATTTTGTATACTAGTAGGTATATATTGTACTATTGCTCCCAATAATATACTGCAGTCAACGGTATTATTAATAAGAACTTATGTTCTATAAATATTGTAATTGTGTATGTATTTATTTATTTTAATTTTAAATGAATACTTTTTGATAATGTTTAAAAAACCATTTTTTTTAGTAGATTTCTCAATTGTTTGGGAAAGTATTTTGATCACTTTAATGTGAATTGTTGCAACTTTCAACCATGTAATAAACCATTTTAATCACATAAAAATTAAAAATTGTACAGGGTTGTATATCTATCAAATGCTGAAATGCCAATAGGTGGAGGGGGAGTTGCCAGTTGGAGTCCGGGTCCAATGCCCCCTCCCCCTAAATATCACTGTACTTGAGTAAAATAAACTAACCACCTATAGTAGCTAGTACAGTAATACGGGGACAATATTATACTTATAGGTAGGTACCTATCTATACGGCTATATAGAAGCGTACGCAGTATATTTTAGTTCGGTTAGGGTTTAACCTAAGACTAATCACAGACCCTTGAGGGGATTCATCCACATTTACATTATATTTGCTAAACAGTTTTTATATAATTCATTAACAAAGTATAGAGTTGTAGTCTCAAATTTAATCTAGAGTATTCAACTTGGACATCCATAAGCCTCTTTAGTCTTTAATTGATTATTTTGATAAATGTAATTTTTTTTCTAGAAAGATAAAATTTCAGGGAGGTTCTCCCTAGAACCTTACCTCTGCATACGCCACTGTCGCTATATTATATAATATTAGAATGCACATATTTTGACCGACTGACAAAAATCGTAATCAATATAGAAACGTAACAAATATTATGTATTATATTATATACATAATAAAATATTTAAATATATTATAGTTATTATTATAATCATATTGTATATTGAATTGTTTCGATACTTATAGTATTCTTATAAAAGGAAGTTATACGGTGGTTACACCTAAGAAGATATAATTATATTTTAGAAATAGGTAGTCCTATTAGTTATTTTTACACACTCGCCGGTTAGTCAAAATATAGATACAGATGTACAGGTATTAATGTATTATACACAATTACATAAGTATATAAAACTATAAAAGATTCTATGTAATATATACTTATGGCATGTCCGTTACTCCGTTTTCAAAAGTTTGAACACCCCATTTATATATGATATAATACTCCAATACTCCAATACGTGTGGTTCGCAATAGTAGGTAATCAATGAATTTGGTAAGTAGGAAACAAACAAAATAATATTTCCTTTGTACTACATATCATAATATTATAATACTGTCATAAAAACATATATTATTTGTTATTTATTTTAGTATTTTATTTAATATAATGTTCGTATATCACGTAATCTTGATGATATAGGTCAAATCTGAATAACTCAAATCCCATTCATTAAATATTTATTATTTAAATCCCAAGTAGGTACCTATACAGGGACGGCCTTAGGTATTTTGCCGACCGGTGCGACTTAAAAATTGTCCATAATATCTAAGGTTAAAATGCCGCCCCTAATTATTCACTTAAAATTACCACCCAGTTGCACATGCAGCCTTAAGCCGGCCCTGTTAATATATTATGATAAAAATTAAAAATGTAAAATATTAATGTTAATTATTAGTTAATATTATAATTTAGTACTGTACATTTTAAAAAATATATTAAAAATTGCCTTAAAAAATGTGTATATTGTAACATTTTTTCTTATAACAGTGGCCTGTCTTGAATTTTTATCCTGAACCTGCTTCCTAGTGACACTAAGCATGAAATTGTCCACATAAGGCGTTTTTCACGGGGACCAATTCTATTGTCCTAGTTCCGTACTGGGGATCTATAGTTATAGCTTCATTTTAAGGGATGATGAGCTTTTTCCCACGGCGCCATATGTTTAAATCATTGGAATAAATGAATATTGTATTTTACCACATAAATGATAGTACTTTTATGATGATAATTATTAATTAAAGCAATTCGTGAAAATACTGAGTAGATATTGAGTATTTAAACAATGATCTAGGTAAAGAACGGTAATATTGTTTATACTTTATAGTAGGGTAATTTTGTCATATTTTCCCTGATGACTAGATAACAATTGGCAACGCTGATGCGACGACGACAGCTACCGTGATTCTGAATTTAATACAAATTTCTATTAAAAAGTTCACACTTTTTCATTTATAACTTAATTTCTAAACTTACGATTTTGATGATTTTTACAAAAGCACATTTTCTACACAATATTTTTGATGTTTTGGAGTTTATTAGGAGTTTGATGCATTAGAAAATTAGTTATGTCGTATAACAAATTTACCCTATTTTACACAGTTTAAATAGGCAACTTCTGCTTAGATATAATATACACACACAGTTTTACAGTTATTTTTTTTTTAATTGGCTCGCGCCACGACAGTGGCGCTGGATATAGCTCACAGAATTTGTTGTTTGTACTAGTAAAGTTTTTTCCGTTATCGCTATTATTGGTACTTGGATGTCTTCGTCGAGCAATAAACGCCTTAATTTATCAATAAAATCTTCAGTACCCAGTCCATGTACCTTTTCTAAATGCACTGTCTTAGTAGTCGAATATATGAATAAAAGGTACAATACGGGACCTCGACGAGCTGTCGGAACTGGAGGAAATCGTGGAAGCAATCAGCGCCGTGGATCTATGAAGGCGTGTGATCTATAAAGGGATTCAAACCAGCGAGTTTTAAGCAAATCTTTACATTCTATTGTCGCGTCAGGGAGGTTAGTTCCATAATAATTCTGCTCCTTGCACTAAACGTAGCCAGTACTCCATTGCTTGGCGCCTTTCACTCACAGCACAGCTTCCCCAGTGGCGCCGAAGTCCATGCTGACGTCGGGCCGTGGCCCGACCTCTTTTTTGAAAAATGTGGCCGGCCGGCCATATTTAATTTACATCATAACTTTATTATAAGCATGAGTAAATTTAAACCGTGATTATGAATAAATTTATATTAGGGTACCTCTATATTAAATAATTAAGATATTGAGGCCGGGAAGTTTTAAAATTGCCCGACCACATTTTAAAAACTTCGGCGCCACTGAGCTTCCCACAGTCTGGTTGGCTTTGGGTCTACAGTTCCTGCAAAATCGAATAATTTAAAACACAATTCTCAATAACCGTTTGGATTTAAATGACGATTCAGTAGTTGTATACTTAGTGAAGTGCTTGACGTGGTCGTTATTGGCATACTGCATTGCACTGTTCTTTCTTGAATTGTGCCTGATACTGTTTTCAATATGATGTCTGGCCATTTAATTTCCAAATATACCTAGATACATAATACTTACTAACAAAATTAACCACTTAATATTTTTTTCGAATACTAATTTTAAAGTTATTTCAGTACAAAGGTACAACATTAAATTGGCATTTGCACTAACTTCTGATAATTATACATTATAATTAGGGCCTGGATTTAAATGCCCTAAATACTACCTAAAAAAATGTTCAAAAAAATGCATTTCAACCGCAATAATCTCCTTAAAAAATTACTTAACAATTGTTATAAGTTATATCATTCACATAAGATAACAAGAATAATATTACAATTTTAAACTAAATAATAGTTGTTAATATCACTGTTAATAATTATTCAGCACATAATTTTTCAGACTGATGTTTCCTTTACAAACAAAATTTAATTTTTTGTTCATTTTTCTGCCACCAATGTAAATTTCCTATTGCTCCCCCCCCAACTTACAACCAGCCCTGTATGCATATAATGTTATTATAATCTGTATATAGAATAGCTAATCAGCAATAAGCTCTGTTTTATTTGTTGTGCAGTGGTTTTCAATAATTTTTTTTTGGATATTTTTCAGTATCTGCGATTGAATAATAAATACACGTACGACTCGAGACTTTTCGCAAACATTTACAAAACATATAGTATATAAGATACTAAGGTAGGTACTCACAAATTTGTACAAGCAGCTGGTTTCGTTTGTTACTTCACCAGATATGTTGTCGAGTCGTTGGTTTGAAATGAGAATCTTAAATATCTTTTCGGCGGGACCTAAGACGAAGCGGACTATAATTAGTATAACAGCCAAGGGCAGGCGACTATGGCCACCACCGCGGCGGCAACTGTTATTCTTGACATACAAGCGCATCAACGCGTGTCAGAGTATTCTATTGACTCGCATATGACGACTTTTCAGACGGACTATACACACCGAATTATCACCAGACGTATCGCACCGGGGCGGTATAATCGTGCTACCAAGGTATATACGTACTACAACGGTGCACCATGTAGCGTAGTATTGCCCTGGTGTACCACTGTTTAACGCGGTGTACCTATTGAGGCGCGCCGTGGGACGCCCTAGTGTGAGGAATACGAGTTCTAGCAGCCGGCCAAAAATATAAAATATTTTAAAACAATAATATTTAGTGTGTACAATTTATTATGTTTAGAATACATTTTTTAAGTTAATACAAAACAAATCTTAAAACTCTTTGGAGTTTTAAATAATCAATAAATGTATTGCTTCTGGAGATAATTCAGTTGATGATACTTTACTCTGAGGTCTTAATCCTGTTATAAATTGGGTAAGATGTTATCAAAAGAAAGTTAAATAAATCTGTATTTGTGTTAAAGAGTGACGATTTTCTTGAATGATGTTCTCGCATTCGTATATAGTCTTTGTTCCGTGACTCTTGAGCTTCCTCAGATAACTGTCCAATAGGAACAAGGGCATAAATTTTGATTGCTAAAGAGCCATGTATCAACATTTTGTGTACGCTTGGAGGCATACGGTACTAATTATATAACTTTACATAAAGTTAAGCTGTTTCTCTAGCATACTCATCAAATCTTTCGTAGTTTATTTCATGACCACTGGAAATCACGGTTTTATTATTGAATATGTATGGATTAAACGAACATCAAATCCTGGAATCTCGGAGACTCTCTCCGGATTCTTAAAAAATCTTCGAGCAACATTCCCCGTATTTGATGTACCCATACCCTGAACCCCTCTGTCAACTTTTAAACCTAATTCTTCCCAAAGACGAAATTGTATTTCTTCCTTTTTTTCTGAAATTAAAATTTTTTGTACAGCAGTTGTTCTTTTAGTTGTTGGAGCCGATTCCAATTTATATACAATTTGTAAAGTGCGCTCTAAAAATTTTATCCAGGCATGCAATGTGGATAAACCGTACTTAAAATTATTTTCATTGTATGTTATTTCTACCATCTCTTTTATTATACTTCTTTTTTCTTTATATAAATTGTATTGGTCTACGATAGCGTGTAGACGAAGGTGTTGGATTTTCTCTGTTTCTATTGACCCGACAGTTGGTGACAATAGAAATATTTATGATTTTTTCATACATTTTTCTATTATAGCAACAGGGTGTTGAATAGAAACAATTATTGATATTTTTAAAAAATTAAACTTTTACTATTAAACTTTTTTTTTATTATTAAAATACAACAACATTTATCAACTTTATCAATAAATAATAAGAAAACAAAATAAAAATAACACCTTGTCATAACATTTTAGTCTTTTACTTTCCAGTCTTTGGATTAATTTATTTTATAATATTATGTTACAAACATAAACTATAACTCTTATAATTAACATTGGTAAATGTAACAAAATGTATATAAATATATCATATGAATAAATAAAAAATAAAAATAAAATTAACATTTTAGTCTATTAATTTCTAATCTTTGGATTTACTTTTTCTATATTATACAGTAGGTCACAAAATAACTAATTAGTTAATACTTTCAACTATTAATTTTTATAAGTAAATGGTTAGAAGACTAGATGGAGTTACAGTTATATGTGAACTTGAAAAGCCCTCTGGAAGTCTGGAATATGGTACTGATTTTTGCATTTTTCCAATAATTTGGGATCTATCAAATTCACAAATATCTTCAACAAACCCATACACAAAGCTTTTCTCTGTAAGTCATTTGACGTGTCTTTAAGTACCAAATGGCCGATTGTAAATAATTTGGATTAGGAATCTGGTATGTTTTGCTTCTTGGATCTCTTTTTCTAATACAGCCCATGGTTGTTTCTATTCACCCGCAAGAAGAAACATTTTACAAAATGTATAGTAAAAAAAAAATTAATGAATTTAAAATTATTATACAGTTTTGACTAATGACAACAATTATGAACAATTAAAATGTGTAAGTAAACGATTAAAAAATTGTTACATTATAAACGGTGAGCTTGTTAATTCTTATACTCAATTATTTAGAATGAAAGTATAATTTCTTTAATTGTATGATATATATTCTTATTTTTTATTTTAATTAATTATATAAATACGAATTAATACACTTACTTGGTACTATATGTTGATCCATTTTTGATTTAGATAACTACAAAACTACTTGTGTTCATATAAAATAACGAAAAACTGAAAAGTATAATATACTACCATGTGGTAGAATGAAATTCATAAGTCTTTATGAACTATACCTACATTTATCGGCTCATTAGTTAATGATTATCGCATATTGCAGTATATTTGTTATCTTAAGATAAATGGCAACAAATATTGAAGTTTATAGTCGCTGATTACGCTGATTACGCTGATTATACTGATTACGCTGATTACGCTGATTAAGCTGATAACTGATTACTAAAATTTACTAATTTTGACCTGCTAAAAGTTTGATTACTCCCACTGTGGGGCGTCCGCAATGTCAACGTGGTAGTGCACCACACAACGCATAACCAGGTTTGCCCTAGTCATGTACCCCGGTATATACAAATGGTGTACACGGTTACCTCGCACTTAGTAGATAGCGATCAGATACCGGTCGGTAACCGATTTTACGCCAGCGGCAACGGTACTGATCGACTCACACATTGTGGTGGCAAAACCATGCTACCGAGGTATACACCAAGCCTGTGCACCGCTAAGTGTATCCCGGTTACCACTGTTTGACACGGTGTACCTATTGGCTCCTGCATGGTTTACCTGGTGGTGCACCACGCAATGTATGACCTGGTTCGCCGTATAGTTCGCCCGGTTTACAATGGTGTACACGATTGCACCCAATGGACAGCGGTCGGATACCACCCGGTGGAAAGCCCGTCAAATCCGTCGTCGACGGGTCATAGACTCTGAACTACGGAGGTTGATGGTCTGAAGCGGTCAGAATCCCAGTTGGTGACCGCGATGGTTGCCAAAGTGCCAAACTAATGTCTGGTTGTAATTATATTCAGCTTCGTCTTACCTGTTACATAGAGCGATCTCCGCACAGTACCTATATAGTTCAATATCCAACTAGATTCGACTGGAGGATATAGAAGACGACTCAGCTTTGGACAGCTGCTCGCCTCCGATATCTTTGAATATCTGTTTGATAGGAGATATGTACGTCACCTACCTAATATTCCATAAAATTAAAAACAAAATGTAAGAAAAATGTTTTCAAATTTACATTAGTCGTAGTGATGAGGCCGTCAAAATATTAGCCATTTTAATAATTTGGAGTCGTTCAAAAATTATGTAAAATGTTTTGATCTGTCTATTATATAATTTATTTGTTAACTTTAATACTATGTTTTTAAATATAATATATTTTTGTTCTTCTTAATTTTATCTTTTACTCTGTTTATAATATTGCATAACTATACTTTGCTACTTCTTAATATCGACAATTACTAATTTATTATTTTATCTATTAAATTTTAAGTTAATATAATATAAGAACCGCTCCCCCAGCCCAAGCTATGCTTTTTAGGGAGTGCTGCAACTAATTAATTTACGTATTTATATAATGTGTCTCATGTTGTTTTGCAAAATAAAGTAATAATTATATAGCTATAAGTAATTTATTGCCTTTTTGGCTTTGGATAAATTCTAGCATTATTTTATTTTAAAACTATAAAACAGTTAATTAAATAATATAATTTAAGACTATTAGTTAATAGCTCAAGACACGAATTGTAGTTAATGATATAAAACGTCAAACAACACACTATACGCTATTAACAAAATAACGAATAACAGACATTGAATTTAGATAGGTAATTGTTGTGCGATTATTAGGTACCTACTAATCTAATCTTAATCGCAACTTTTATAATGAAGTTTAAATTTTGAATTAATAATAATATCGAGATATTTTGTCATGGAATATTTTTGTCTTGTGATATTTTTTTTACCGGGATATTTTGTCGTGGAACCAAAAATACATACCTGAGTTATATTTTTTTTATTCCCCTTGAGATTCTATATATCGAAACTCGATAGAATTATATTTTTTTTTCCTATTGTTCTGTATTTTTAATAAAACTAAAACACGAATATTAGTGCGAATAGTAAAATAAATGTATCAAATGACAAATAGTACTGTGCGTATTTAATAATATTTAACCTACTCAAGTCGAAACATATCTCATCGCATCATGACCTGCTATAGCAAACTAGTGTGTTATATTTTTAAAATTATTATTAAACATAAATTCAGTGGATACCTATAGGTAGGTATCAGTAGAATTAATGTAATTTCCAGCGTTTATAATTCAGAATTTTGTCTTATAAAAGTGAATATGAGTAAATAGCGTCCTATTATTATGAGTTGCGAATAATATTAGGCATTAGTGTGAGAATAAATACCTACTCGTTATATTAAATGGTATCATAATAATATGTTATTATTATTTCACTATATCGTCTATATCATTTATTTCATAATTGTGTTTGACCGAGAACAGAACGGATTTGGTCACGAGTAAAAGTCGGTACTTATCATAATATTTGTTAAACCAATTTAAATGTGCTTAATGTATTAATATAGTTTATCCGTTATTTGTAGAGATAATATTTAACATAAAACAATAACGATATAGGTACATAATAAATCATATTTAATTAATATTTATAGTTATATAGTGTACCCACTCTGTAGGCATAGGTACTTGAGTAGTATTCGATTTTATTTGTTACACTTGTATATGTAAAATATTGTAATATTATCTATATCGTGTCGACTGTCGGCTATATGCAGGAGTTAAGAAGAGTCAACTGTGTAAGTGTGTGGTATGAAAAAATATTATGCACTTTTGTTTTTAATTTGATTATGTTTCTAGTTTTGAACAAAATAAAAAATGTCTAGTAACTATGTATAAATTGTATAATACACTTGGTTTTGTAGACGGTATTATTTATGTACTATGCATGTCTATATTGTGTATTTATTTATTTATTTAGGCGTACATTTGTATTTTGTAAAATGATTTTTTCTATTGTTATTATTCTATTTGAAAAGTATTTGAAATATTTTTTCTACTAATTATTACTTAGTCATCTCACAGTTTTATACTACATCATATACCGTACCACTTGCACTAAGGCACTAACAAATTTTGTTTAACGACAATACTGAAAAAAAAATAATAATCTTTTATAGGTACGAATAATTGGGTTACATACATAAGACGACAACATTGGAATATTTGATTCCATTTAAAATCATAAGGAATACACATGGCAAGTTTTTTGAAACTCTCGCACTGGTCCTAACCTAACCTAACCTAACAATTTATTTTAAGATAATTTTTGCTACCAACGGTCAGCATTTTGTAAATGGAGTTTCTTTTCTCCGTGAATAAATAAGTTACAACTTCAGCTTTTTTTAATTTTCTATATAAATATTTGTTTCATAGTACTAACAAAATTTAACAGTATAATAATAAACCGTCTAAAGAACAGCTTCAATACATAATATAAAGAAACCTATTTAGTAAGTAACCCTAACGACAAATTATGACTAATTAAATATTGCTACTTTATATTTTGCACTTAAATTTATATAGGCGTTACTATATGGGTTGCATCGGATATTTTAAATGCTGCCTACGGTTCGCCAAAATTACGTGCCATTTTTGCTAAAATGAGCTGTCAAATTAACCATGAAAAAAAATGTAATAATTATATTTATTATTATTATTATTATTTAAAAACTAAACTCTTGTGATATTACCCGGGGTTAAAGTGGGGGGGGGGCAGGAGGACTCAGTCCCTCTACCTCTGACGGTGGTTAAAAAGCGTCCCGTTTAACAAATTGTACAAACATAAAATTTTATATGGAACGAACGCTTAAAACTTTATGGAGACATCAGTCTCCTCTGGAATTTTTTTCCACTTTAACCCCTGGATATAATTGTCGTAGAGCGGTAGCTTGTAATACTAAACATACTATAAAATATTTAAT